GGCAGACCAGCACGGCAGACCAGAATTGCGCGGTAGACTGGCGCGGCAGGCCGCAGCAGCGTGGCAGACCATTGCAGGAGTACGGCGGGCCAGCGCGGCAGAACACAGCGGCGCGGCAGGCCAGAGCAGCGCGGCGAGCTAGCGCAGAAGACCACGAGGTCACGGCAGACCAGTGCGGCAGACCGTTCAAGCACGGCAGGCCAGCGAGGCAGACCAGAGCAGCACGGTGGACTAGAACAGCAGACCACAAAGTCACGGCAGACCAGCGCGGCAGACCGCTGGAGCACGGCAGACCGGCGCGGCAGACCACAGGAGCACAGTTGACTTGCAAAGCACGTCAGGCCACGCAGGAGCCCGGCAGGCCCGAAAGGCAGACCATCGGAGCACGGCAGGCCAGCGCGGCGCACCATCGGAGCAGGGCCATTACGGCAGACTACGGGAGCACAGCTGACCCGTAAAGCACGGCAGACCACGCATCAGCACGGCGGGCCAGAACCGCAGACCAATGGAGCACGGCAGGACAGCACGGCAGACCACAGGAGCATAGTTGACCCGCAAAGCACGGCAGACCGCACAGGAGCACTGCAGGCCTGCACGGCAGACCATAGGAGCACGGCAGACCAGCAGGGCGCACCATCGGAGCAGGGCAGAGCAGTGCGGCAGACCACAGGAGCACGGCAGGCTAGCGCGGTAGACCGCAGCAGCACGGTAGACCAGCAAGTCAGACCCCATAAGCATTACAAACCTGCGCGGCGGACCACAGGAGCGCGGCGAATCAGCGCGGCAGACGTGGGCAGCACGGCGGCAGACATTGGCAGACGCGGCAGATACCAGGAGCGCGGCATAACCTAACGGCACGGCAGACTTCAGCAGCACGGCGGACCACAGGAATATGGCAGACCAGCGCGGCAGACCACCAGCGCGGCAGACCACAGGAATGCGGCTAACCAGCACGGCCGCGAAGTGCAGGAACCTCAAGGAGACGCACTTCAAGGATGGCGACAAGGAGAACATCGAGAACCTCCAAGAGTCCCACGAGCTCGACGGCAAGCAGCATGATCTTGGGGGCATCGTCGCGATGGCCGAGGGCGTCAGGATTCGAAGCTGCAGGACCAGTTCGACGGTAGCGACAAGGACAACATCGAGGTCGGCGTGAAGGTGTTGGTGGTCGGCGCGGCGACTCTCTGCGAGTAGCGTGAGGCCAAGCATAAGGAGCAGGGAGGCGCCGTCAAACATTTCGCGATTTTCAAGGGCTCGGGCGACTCGACGGCGCTGGCGAAGGCCGAGCAGACCACGCCGTCGTCCAAGCCAGCCGGGGATGGAGATGTTCGCATGCGGCGCGCTTTCTTCGCCCTGGTGCAGGCCCTGCAGCGACAGGCCTGCGGGCCCTTGTGCCTCTGCGACGCCTCTCTCGGGCTCCTGCGGGCTACTGTCGCCGTCGAGGCTGTCGGTGTGGTCGCGCGGCAGTTCGTTTTCCAACGGCAGGGCTCGGGGGCCGACCTTCCGATGAAGAGTGTCGGCGCTTCCATGGGGAGTCTCTGAGGCAGCCGTTGGGCGTCTCGCCAGTTTGGGCTTCCACTTGCTGCCGTCGGCTGTTGGAGGTGGCGCTGGCTGATTGTCGTGTTGGCGTTGGGCTTTCCCCGTGGGCCCCGGGGGGTGCTTCGGCGCAAACCCTGCAGGATAGTTTTTTCTTGTGCATGGGCTTCCCCCGTGGGCCCTGCGGAGTGCAGCGGCGTAAACCCTAGAGGGTATTTGTCCTGGCGTAAACCCTAAAGGGTGTTTGTTGTGGTCGCGCTCTTTCCGCCCGCAGGTGTGTGGCCCTGTGGGGGCTCTGTGGCTCTGGCGCTGGCCCCCTGTGGGCGGGTGGGGGCCGTTGCGGCCTGCCCTGTGGCGTGGCCCAAGGTGGCGCGCCCCTTCTCTTTTCTTTTTTCTTTCTGGCCGTATGTCCCCGCGGCTTCAGCTTCGACGCGGCATGCCATGGCTGTGCGGCGAACCAGCGCGGCAGATCATAAGGGCACGCGGCAGATCCTAGGAGCGCTGCCGACCCGCGCGGCAGACCACCAGAGGGCGGCAGACCAGCGCGGCAGACCAGCACGGCAGACCGCGTGCGACAGACCACAGAAGCACGGCGTATCACGCCAGCACCGCGGCAGACCAGTGCCGCAGACCGAAGCAGCGCGGCAGACCAGCCGGGCAGACCTCGAGAGCGTTGAAGACCAGCGCGGCAGACCACATCAGTGCGGCAATAACCAACGCGGCAGATAGCAGCAGCGCGACAGAAGACAGCAGCACGGCAGACCAGCGCAGAAGAGCAGCAAGGCAGACCACATGATCGTGGGGCAGACCACAGCAGCGCGACAGACCGCACGGTAGACCCCATGAGCATAGCAGATTAGCATGGCGGACCACAGGAGGAGGACAGACCGGCACGGCGCAGACCGTAGCAGCACAGCACAACATCGGGGCAGACACCAGAGCACGGCATAACCGAACAAGACGGCTGACCAGGTTCATGGCATACCACAGGCATATCAGCGCGGCAGTCCACTGGAGCGCGGCAGACCAGCACGGCAGACCCCATTACCTTTGAAAACTAACACGGCGCACAATCGGAACGCAGCAGACCAGCGCGGCACAGCAAAGCAGCACGGCCTACCAGTGCGGCACATACCAGGAACACGGCGTAACCTAACAGCACTTCAGACCACGGCATCACGGCAGCCCACAGGAACATAGCATAACGGAAACCAGCACGGCAGACCACGGGGGCACGGCGGACTAGCGCGGCAGACAGCGGCAACACGGCAAATCAGCACGGCAGACCACAGGCGCACATTGGACCAGCACGGCAGACCGCAGCAGCACAGCAGACCAGCACGGCAGATCGCAGCAGGACAGCAGACCAACACGGCAGACCACATGAACCGAGCAGACCGACACGTGAGAGTACACTAACACGGCGGACCAGCATGGCAGACCACAACAGCACGGCAGAGCCTGAGAGCACGGTTGACCACATGAGCACGGCTGACTACAGAAGCTGGCATATTACAAGAACACGAAAACCCAACGCAGTGATTTGCCAGCAGCGTCGTTTGTACAAGTTGTCCGAGTGTCTTTGACGTTGAAATGAGGACATTGTCTGACTAGTTTCGCGGAGAAAAGCGATTCTTCCCGTTCTTGTCCGATGATTGTTTTCCAACATGGCGGTTTCGCTCAGGACATCTTGAAACAAATGCCTCGGAAGGGGGTTCCGAGCCAACGTCGTTTTCGAATCGCTTTCGGAGGAACCCACGGTGGTTTGTACGAGTTTCAAAAAAAAAGCTTCTGGAAACCCCAACGATGGCTCCAAGAGGCCCCCATGAATTCTCCAGGAGGCCTCCACGCGGCCGAAAACACCCCAGTATCGCGCCAAGACTGCTTGGGAGAGCCCTGGCAGACCTTCAGTCACGCCCAGACAGCACAAAACAACCCAATAGCCCCCAAGAGGACCCCGACAGTCCCCCACGAGGCCCCCTGGATGCCCCAATATAGCCCCAAACGGCCCCGACAACCCCCAGGGTATCTTCTAAGCCCGCGAGGACCCCCTTTTTCGATGTCCTTTTCGTCGGGCCCTTGATCGTCCTCCTTCGTCGTTTTCGTCCTTTTACTCCTTCTCCTTCTCTTCCCCCTCCGCTTCCGCTTCATTCTTCCTCGTTCGCGTCCTTCTCCATCTCTTGCTCCTCGTCCTCGTGCTTGTCTTCGTAGTCGTTGTCCTTTTGCTTCCTTCGCTACTTTTCATGCCATCCACGATGTCATCTTCGACATCAGCCTCTTGGACGTCGCCATCATCCTGTCCTTCCTTTTCTATAACGAGCTACATGGACAACATCGGCGCTTCCCGTTTTTGTCCGATCGGGTCTTTAGGGTTCCGCATCAATGTTGTGGTTTCTGGAGCTCGGTTTCGTGCGCTTTCGCGGTACTAACAGCAACCCAGGATGAAACGCCTGTCTTGCGAAGGGCTCGGACGATCCATGGGCCCATGTCTCGAGCAAGTCTGCCGCCGTACTCATATGGATCACTTGGTTTGAGTATGGTGATGGTCGCCATGCGCTCGCGTGTTTTTCATAGCACTTCGTCTCCGAGGACTTTGACATGGACGGTTGTGGTCGTGAATCTGGTGTTCTGTTGAAGAGGGGGAGAAGAAATAGCGACGAGAAGGAGGTGGTTCTGTTGTGGTCGTGAGGATCGTGATCTGGTGCTGATGATGGTGGTTCTGTTGAAAATGAGGAGAAGGACGAGGAAATATGGCAAACGATGAGGGAGATAGCGTGTCCTCTTGTTTTTTTGTTGCCGGTTGCCTTTCCTCGTTGTGCCTCTTTGTAGTGCGTTGTCTCGATACGTACCGTCCTGACACTGTGTGCATTTGCGCGCAGTTCGAGATCTCTGTGTGGTGGTTGCTTCCCTCCTCGTTTTCCGAGGACTTTCTGCCGCGATGTGTTGTGTTTATCATCTGTCCGACGGGGTTGGCGAAACCCGTGGATGAGTTGGAGTGGTAACAGGATTTGGTTTCCTTTCACGATCTGAATATGTCGGCAGCATTCCTTTACTCTCCACTCGATGGTTCTCTACAGCGCTGCGAGCTCGTTGCCGCCTCGGGCCGGTGCCTCACTGCGCTCCCCTGCTTGTGCCTCCTTTTTCAGAAAGGATGCTGCTGATCGCCCTTCGCATTTGCCTGACGTGGCCTTGCTTTCGGAGGACACCACCAGATCACCCAATATAACACCAGTCCTGGCCGCGCCCACCCTGGGCCCAGGACCGGTCCCTGCGCACTCCTGGCCAGGCCAGGAGGGCGTAGACACCAATCCTGGACCCACGGTGGGCTCGGGCCGGGATCACTGTGATCTTTCGTGTCGCCGGCGCCCCCCTGGTGCTCACCTGAGCGCTGTGCTGGCACACGGACGAGGCCAAGCAGTGATGGGGTCTCGCAGCCAGCCGCGACCGAGGCCGGGCTTCCCCGCAGCCAGGCGGCCCACATGGCCCCGACGCGGTAGCCTAGCGCGTCGCGCTGCCCCCCCTCTTCCCGCGTCGGGGTGCCGCCGGGGCGCGGCGGGCGGGAGGGCCTCGGCGAGCAGGCGGCGGCGTCAGCGCACGCCTTTCGGGGGCCCGTGGCGATCTCTGGCGCTGGTGCTGCTGGCGGCGCGGGCTCCGCGCGCCCAGGGGAGGGGGGCCACCGCCGGCCCGAGTCGATCTCCGCGGTCCCCCGGAGGGTTCCGCGCACGCCGCGGTCTGTTCTTCAGGATCGGGAGCCGCCAGCTGCCCACCTCGCCGATCCTGGGCAGGCCCACGCTGGGCCCAGGGTCTGTCAGGTGGACAGCCGATGTCCCCCGACGGGCAGGTCATCGGAGCAGGCATGGGCGATGCTGACACCACGAGCAGGGCCACCGTCGGCGAGGAGGGGAGCGATTCCTGCACCAGGCTGGAGTTTTGGGGTTGCCTCGAGCGGAGCGCGCGTACCACACCACCACCACCATGGTCCTGTGCTCGTTGCGACGGTGGGGTCGGCGCCCATGTCCGATGAGGGTGAAACGCGAGCCATGCCAAGAGGAGGGCGAGGAAGGGAAGAGGCGGGGAGGTGGAGAGGAAAGGAGGAACGACGTACAAATGATGATGAGGAAGAAGAGCAACGACAGTAGCAGCAGGGGCGAGCCAGAGTGGGGGGATGAGGGAAAAGAGAAGCAGGAAGCTGAGGATAAATAGAGGGAGGAGGTGGAGGAGGTGGGGGAGGTGGAGAAGAATGGGAGGCGAGGCTATGTCTGGAATGCGACCCGTCGCACGTGGACGGAGCAGAGGTGGACGCCGCACTCGACGTTTTTGCGACGCCAGGCACGGGCTTTCGGCGGGGAACTTTTCGGATATGGCCGCTTCTGGTCTACGGGGCCAGCGGACCGCAGCCCAGGGCCCAGAGTCCATGCGCAGGGGGGGTAGGCAGCCCCTGCTCAGAGGAGTCAGAGGTCATGAAAATGCGTTCCAAGGTTTCCAGGGATCCAAGATTTGCCAATGCTTCACACGGACGACAGAAACGAGGGCCGCTAGATTATCTGGAAACTCTGGAACGTATACTCAGCCAGTCCCATCGTGACACCATTCCCAGCCTCTCTTCGGTTCCCCCGGGCAGCGGAGAGATCGTTCAAGGTTGAGCGGGCCGCGTGGTGCCAGAAACCAGAAAAGTGCGCGCTTCGTTTCGGCAGGCACTTACCGTACGTCGATCGAGTGGGCTGGGTCGATTACACTGTTCCCCAGGACGGTCAGAGTAATGGCGTGGACGATCGAACATAAACTCAAATGGCAGATATTTCTGGGGCACTGGCATGCACTTGCTTCTGGGCTCGCTGCCAGGGCAACAGCGGCGACAATGGTTGTATGGATCGTGGCTGAGCTGAGGCTGCCAATGCCAGTGACATCTGGTATGACCGTGCGTGACGATGGCAACCTTGGAATGACTCAAGTCACTGATGTTGACGCACTGATGTGGGCGCAACATCTGGCGTCAAGCCTCGCAGCACAAAGCACTGGTATGGGCTAGGCGGGAATGCGAGACTGTCAGGGCTAGGCGGGCGGTGCCGCCGACGCCTTTGCCCTGCCCCAGCTCAGCTATGCCACATCCCATGGTGCGCCGAATCTGGGCCCCTGAGGAAGCCCCAGTATAGAATATGGGAGACGGCGGAGAGATCATAAGGAGCTGAACCTCACGATCGTGGGTATAAGGATAATACGTTGACGGATGATGATGATGATGATGATGATGATGATGATGATGATGATGATGATGATGCTGCTGCTGATGATGATGATAGTGATGATGATGATGCTGATGCTGATGCTGATGATGATGCTGCTGCTGATGATGATGAGTAATGATGCTGCTGATGCTGATGATGACGATGATGATGATGCTGATGATGATGATTGTGGTGGTGGTGGTGATGATGATGGTCATGGCCATGGTGATGTTGATGCTGCTGATTATGATGCTGCTGCTGATGATGATGCTGATGATGCTGATCCTAATGATGATGGTGCTGACCATGCTGATGCTGATGATGCAGATGATGCTGATCCTAATGATGATGCCGATGACGGCTACTATGAGGATGGTGATGCTGATGATGACGATGATGATGTTGTTGCTACTGTTATAGTTGTTGTTGATTATGATGCTGATTCTGATGCGGATGGTGCTGCCGCTGCTGATGATCAGGATCATGCTGATTATGCTGCTGCTGTTGCTGCTCCTGGACGATGATACCAATAATAATCATAATGATGATGATGATGATGATGATGATGATGATGATGATGATGATGATGATGAGGATGATGATGATGATGATGATGCCGCTCTTGATGATAATGAATATGATTATGAATATGATGACGTTGATGCTGCTGAAGATGAGGATGATGCTGATGATGATGATGATGATGATGATGATGATGATGATGCTGCTGCTGATGATGATGATGATGATGATGATGCTGATGCTCATGCTGATGATGATGATGATGATGATGATGATGATGATGATGATGATGATGATGATGATGATGATGATGATGATGATGATGATGATGATGATGATGATGATATTGATGACGATGCTGATTATAATGATGGTGCATGAGGTGGAGGATGGGGGATGATGGTAAGGAGGCGAAAGAGACACCAGCTTGCCTTGCTTGCGTACTCGAGCAGCGTGGAGGCAGCGTTGATGCGTCAGCGCACGAGATGTTGGGCTAAGCCTGGCGTGGCCGGCCTGGCCACCTTCCCTCCTCCCTCCTCCCCCCTCTCCCTCCTCTCTCCTCGCCTGCCCGGCTAAAGGGTACGGGCGTTTGGTGGGACGCCCAGCCCAACTAGCCCATGCTCTGCGACCAACCAGGGTTACACTCGAACGAATCTCCCATTTTCCTCTGCAGACCTTTGGCGGTGTTTTTTCCTAACCATCCTGTGGTGTTGGGTCTCCTCGTTGGAAGAGACAGTGCTCCGCGTCTCCTCTCCTCCTTCCTCCTCCCCCTTCACCTTCCTCCCATCCCTTGCCTCTGCTCTCCGCATGTCCACCATTTCGGCACACCCCTCACGAGGATCGTGGCCCCATGAGGAGCTCCACCGAAGGCCCCAGTGGCACAGGCCGCATGCGCCCGACGCCGATTTTGACACACCCCTCGCGCGGCTCGTGGCCCCATAGGAAGCTCCACCGAAGGTCCCAGTGGCACAGGCCGCATGAGCCCGACGCCCATGTTGGCACACCTCTCACACGGTTCGTGGCCCCATAGGGAGTTCCACCGGAGGCCTCAGTGTCACAGGCCGCATGCGCCCGACGCCCTTGTTGGCACACCCCTCACACGGACGTTTCTTGGCCCCATATGGAGGTCCACCGAAAGCAATACCCACACCGCGGTATTCACAATGCGGTACTCACCCCTGTGGTATTCATTCAAGGATATGTTTTTTCGCGCCCGAGTCATGTTCCTCAGTTGTTCGGTTTCTGGAGGCCGTCTCTTGGCCTGGGACCGTCCAAAGCGACTCAGGATGAACGGCCGGCCCGGGGGAAAGGGTCGTGAGGTTCGGACAAGTACGGTCGGCGGAGGTCTGGATTCCGCCTTCCCTCCCGCCTCCCCCCTTCTTTTCTCCTCTCATCCCCTCCTTCTCCTCTCATCCCCTCCTCAGGCGCTCACCGTGCCGCCATGGGGGACGACTGGGACGATGACGAATGGGACGACGCCAAGGCGACAAAGGCGCCCCAGAAGGATGCGCGAGCGGGTAGGGGTGTGTGTCCTCGTCGTCCTCATGCTCCGCCCCTCCTCCCTTTTTCCTGCTCCTTTTTGCCCCCCCCTCCTCGCGCGTTCTCATCCCTCGTCCGATCAACCGGTCGGGGCATGCCGCCCGGAGGTCTACCGTGAGGTAGAGTGTTCCCGACCCTCCTTCCCCCGCAGCCACATGCGCAGCTAGCCTTCGCCGAGTATGGCGTTTCCCTCGACGGGCAGACGGTCTCTGCCGCCCGAGCTGCGACTTCACCGCCGCCGCAGAGAGCGTGTTCGCTCCTTCACAGAAGGGTTCGCAGGCCTCTGCAGAGAGCAGCTGCTTTTGGATAGAGAGGCTCACAAGCTTCTCGGAGCGGCCCTTTCCGCAGACAGTGGGGCCATTCTCGCCGAAAGCGGCTTCGTCCCTCGCAGTCTGGTTCTAGTCGCAGGGAGCGCCCTCGCACGGAGTGGTGTGCCCTCGTCTGGGAGCCTGTTCCTCCTCCACCTTTCCATTTGGGGGGCAGCACCGTCTGCTGTGGGAGCACAGGCCGTGACTGGGCAGGACTCCTCCCACTTTGCTTTTCCACTAGAGTCCCGCGTCGCTCTGCCGCGACCTCGCGGAGAACGGGGCGCCCGAGGGGCCTCTCTCTCTCTCTCGAGGACGGCCGCGGGAACTGCAGCGGACGCCGCGGGCGTTTGTGCTCCCCTCGCCCTGGGCTAGCAGCCTACAGTGCCGTTTTTAATACATGCTCTGCGTGCGGATCATGTATTAAACATGCAGGGATTCAGTATTGAAAACAACGATGAGTTCATGCATACATTTATTCATAACTGAATCATGCATTAAACATGCTATGTTTAAACAAATCCGATGTATTAATACCTGCCCTTTAAGGTGAAAACCCAGGCCGCGTGAGTGCAGGAGGCCCTGATGACGGCAATGGCGCAGCAGTCTACCAACCCGTGCTGGGCGTGGTCCTTCTGGCAGTGGGTGGCGAGGGCGCACAAATCGGAACCGTTCGAGCAGGAGGTCATGCGACTACCGATGTCTCGCGGCTACGTGGGCCCCGCCACCAGGTCGCCGCCGCGCGAGTCATTCAGGAGCGATCTGGAGCTGGTCGCGTTGCGCGCCAAGCCCGTCCACGGCATGGGTGCGCTGGGCGGGGGCGGCTTGGTCTCGCCAGGCGAGTTCGGCCTCGCTCAGGACCAGGAGCTCGCCAGGTGGAACGTGGGCCTCCCGCCCGATCTGAAGAGGGTCGCCCCCGAGATCAATCGATCCATGTGAAGCGCGGGGGCGGCGTCGGCACGTGACTGGCTTGCGCAGGAGTGCAGAGGCAGCAAGAGTGCTCAGCTGTGGACAGACCTCTGGAACGCTGCCACGTCCATTGATTTCGCCACGGCCCGCGTCAAATCACGGGTCGAGCTGCTCAACCTTCTGGCCAGCGACGACGGTCTGGAGATGAACCTTACGGGGGATCGCGAGCCACGTGTGCGACACTCGGGCGGGCGACAAGTCGGGCTCCCAGCAGCTGCTCGCCGTTCCCCCTCCTGGGGCCGGGGTCGACAGGCCCCGACCTGGCTCGTCGCGGAGGCCACTGCCCACACGAAGATGGAACACCAAAGGGCCGAGAGGGTTGAGGCAGCCAATCGACCTCGAGGGGGCCGTGGAGCTGGACGTGGCAGGTGGTGTTGGACGAGGGCCAGGACGAGGAGGACATGGTGGAGGACATGAGGGAGCAGCTGGCGGAGGCGGCGGCGCAGGGGCAGCCCGTGGCGGAGCACGGGGAGGCGGTCGTGGCCGAGGCCCGCAAGCTCGCCGCCGCCCCCAGGGCTGACGACGCGCTGGGGGCCAGGGGGGTACCTCGAGCCCTCCCCTGGCGCCCCGCGCGGCGCCCCCGCGGCGGGCGTCCGTGGGGCGCCGAGCCCAGGCGATGGAAGACGCTCCGTGTCCAGTACCTCTGCCGGCGCGACCTCTTCAGGGGGGAGGGCGGCCGCAGCGGCCGCCTCCGCGCCCGCGTGGCGCGACGCGTGCGGGTGTGGCGACGGCAGCAGGCGTGGTTGACTTCAAATGGCCTGGGCGCGGGTCGCCTTCGGACGGCGTCGAGCCGCGCGGCCAGGACATCTCTTTCGACGGGAGCGGTTTGGAGGAGCGTGCGCGCTTTCGTGCTGGAGGAGGCTGCTAGCTTCGAACGCGACTGCCGGGGCCTCGGCCAGGCATGCGGTCCACCCGACGGACGCGTGCAGGAGGTCGCTGGCCCTGAGAGGGGCCGTGCGAGTCACCCATGTGCCGATGCGGCTTCTTGACACTGACGAAACGAAGGGCGACTCCATTGCGGACATGCTCTCGGCGCTCCTGGAGCGCGAGAGGCGCCTCTATGAGCATGAGGCCAACGTGGTCTCCTACGCGAGCAAGGCCGACGCCGTGCCCTGCGAGCTGGAGGGGCAGTGCGCTTTTGTGAATGGAACGGAGGAGGACTGCCCTACCTACCTGTGCCGAGAAGAACCTCCCAGGGGAACGTGGTCGTTCGCCCCCGCCTCCCGGGACGTGGCATTCGGGGGTTTTCGTATTGTGCCCACGAAGGACCCCACGAAGCAGCACGGGGTCCTGATGAACGTCCCCGCCAACTACATGTGCATCGATCCCAAGGAGCGGGCCGATCACGGCCTGGCAGGAGGTGGGGCGCTGGCGCGGGTGGTGGTGCCCGTAGGCCACTTGGGGATCGCTGCGTTTGACGCGAACAACGCGTGCTCCAGGACCCGTGTCCCGCAGTGGAGCGCTCGATGGCAGGCCACCCCTCCGCCGCAGGCCTGGCGCGCATGGCACCTGCTATCCCCAGAGGCGCGGCAGCAGGTCACGGAGCAGGGGTCGGTGGCCCCCTTGTGCCACCGCCTGGCCATGGGCGGCCTCCACTCCGTACGCATCCTGATGTCCATCAACCTCGCCGCTGTTGACCGGGCGCTCACGAAGGGGGGCGCTCGACTGGCGCCAGGCCGCGGCGACCTCGGCCAGCCCAGCCTGGGCGAGCGCGGCCTGTGCGCGAGGGCGACCCTGGGTGCCTGAGTATGGATGGCGAGGAGTGGGTGCAGCAGAACGATGCGGCCAAGTCGATGGGCGCAGGGCAGTCTGGCTACGCGGTGGCCAGCTGGGCCCGGGCCGCCCGTGAGGCCAGCCGTCGCCTCGGCCGCGTGCGCGTGGGCCTGCGCCTGTTCGCGGGCGAGCGGCGGGGCGACGACGCGCGGGCGCAGCTGGGGCCGCGCTGCGAAGAAGCTGGCATGGAGCTGCTGCTCCTCTCCGCGGACTCGCCGCGGATGCGGCCTGGGGCTTGGCCGAGCCAGCGGCGTTCGACGAGCTGTTGAGCTTGTGCGATGGGGGCTTCATCGACGTGGTCCTGGGCGGCCCTCCGGTCTCTACCTCCTCGCGCGCGCGTCGCAGTCGCCCGGGGCAGGGGCCCCGACTTGCGCGTCAGCGTGGCCGCTGGGTCTGGGGCCTGCCCGACCTCGGGCCGCGGGGGCAGCGCCGAGTCCTCGTGGCAAGCGAGCTCGCGGTGAACCTCGTGGCCATGTGCGAGGCGGTCCTCGTGAACGGGGGCTGCCGCCTCGTGGAGCACCCGGGGGATTCGGGGGCTTCCCCCTTCCCCTCGCTGTGGGGCGCGCCGGAGATGATGGCGCTGGAGGAGCGGGCGGGGGCCGCCCGGGCACTGTTCGACCAGTGCCAGTTCGGCGGTCTGGCCAAGAAGGCCGCCTGCGCGTCGGGCACCGTGCGAGGCCTTGACGGCTTGAGCGGCGTACGGTGCGCAGGAGGCCATGTGCGTGTTTGGTTTGACGGTGCAAATAGCCTAGGTGTTTCCAACGCGAGCCGGCTGCAGACGTACCCTGGGAAGCCTTGCGACAAGTTAGCTTCCGTGGTGTTCGACGCGCTGCAGGGCTTCCACGCCGAGAACGCGGGGCCCGCCAGTAGCCAGGTGCCCGAGGGCGCCAGACCCAGGGTCTCAGGACGGTGTGAGCGGTGCCCGCTACATCAGTCGGTGGCCATTCGTACCGAAGGCGCAGCGCGAGGCCGAGGGCTGGTGTTGCGGCAACGGCAGCTGGGCTTCTACTTTCACGTGGACGACGGCGCGTGCGTGGGCCCCGGCGAGCACCCCGCGGCCGCGGACAGCCTGATGGGGCAGCTCGCCGACGAGCTTGGGGCCGCGGGTCTCGTCGTGGACGGCCCTCGCCAGCGGGGGAGTTGACGAAGGTCGTGGGCTACGAGGAGGTCCAGCGACCCGCCAGTCTGAGGCTGCCCAAGATGGAGAGGGTGGCCATCGTGCAGGAGCTGGGGCGTCCGGCGAGGGCCGAGTGGGTCCACGCCGACGGCGTGCGTTCTAGTGTGGGGTCATGGGTGTGGGTGGCGTTGCGCAGGAGGGATCTGCTCAGCACCCTCTCCGCTTTTTGCAAGTTCCTCGACCTGTTCCCCCAGCGATGGGCCCGAACGTGGCTGTCGGACGGACGCTAGCTGCGGGCCATGGCGATGGCCGGCTTCTTCGTGATCGCCGACGTCGGGGCGCCGCAGGCAAGCGCGTTTTCCGCCGCGGACCCCGTGGGGGCCTCGGAGCCCGACGACGGCGGGTACGGCATCGTTGCAGGGGGCATTTCCGACAAGGTGAAGCTCGAGTCGGTGGATGCCGGGGTGGCCGTGGGCTTTACCGTGGCCGAGCTGGACGGCAGCTTCGCGGGCTTGAAGGGCCCCGTGAAGGAGATCTGGCGCACCATGCAGTTTACCACGTTGCCTCGGGCATTGTCCACCGGAGGGGCCGGCTGGAAGATGGTGGAGCACGGCCGCTGGGCCCGCGTGGACCACGTCACCATGGGGGAAGGCCGAGCAGTGGTGAGGCTGGCGCGCAGGCTGGCCCGCGCGCCCCAGATGCACAGATCAGTGATCTTCTCGCTGCAGGACAACAGTCCCGTGGCATGGGCCATGATGAAAGGGCGCTCGCCGGCCTTCGAGGTCAACCTTCTACTGCGTC